GGAAGCAAGGTTTGCACCAAATCTTAACCTTATCACCGTAGAGAGCCTTCGCGTCGTTCTCGATGTAGCCTGGGTGGTCATAGAAGTGCGTCCGGTACCAGCCTCGCCGGCTGAGGAATGCTGAGTTAGTGGTCTGACGAGCCTCAGTATATGCAGCCATTATGGAGAGAGGCAAAAGATGAACATTGGCTACAATATCTACACAGGTACATGAAGGAGCAAGCAAGCTAAGACATATCGATGAAACGAGTGCGAGACTTGCTGCAATATGAGAGAGACGTCCCAATTTGTCAATTGGATGCGTGCGCGATAGGGCATCCTCCAATCATATCACGTCCATGGGCGTCAGAGTCAGGTGATGGTTCTGCGGGAAAGTTAACGTCGACTTTTGTGCACAAGATGACATCGTCATCTGTTGACAAGTCGACGATAGTCGACGTCGACCGGATGTCTACCGGCACATCGCTGGCTAAGTACGGATCATCAAAGTCGACAGAAGGACCGAATCCACACCACATTCCCTGACCATCCATCCGAACGGTGGTCGAGAGGAAGGAAATGTAAAGAGCCGTTTATCACCAGCCCTGTTTTTGGGCTTTAAGGCTCATACGTTTGCCCCCCCCCCCCTCCAGACGATTCTTTGATCCACGAGAATGTTGACGAGCTGATCATGTCATCATGATCCCGATGAGCGGCAAAATTTCTCCGAAGTTGGGCTTCGAGAAGCAAATTCGCGCAATGTCCTGGGATTTTTCGCCCCTCATGACGCAGTGGGAGATGACTTCGGAGGTGGTTTTCAGACTAATATGTAGACAGGCCTGAACATGTCGATCTGCCGATTTTCAGTTTTGGCTCCAAGTACTTACCGATTGGTCGGCTCCATTGTCAATTCTCCGCAAGCTCTGCCTGCAAATCAGTGGTGCTGCCTCATCCGGCTACGGCGGCTTTGTGCGCTGGATGACGACGCACTACATAAGTAGCGGTATCATGACCAAAAGAAAGGTCATTATTTGGACAAGATTAAATGTTTCAATCGTCACAAGGACTGGTTGAAGCCAACCGACGTCTCAACGTACCCTTCGACGTTTGATAAACTGACGACTGCGTTTGGGCGATCGATGCAACCTGACCTGGCGCAAGCGCAAAGTGGTCACATTCTTGCGCAAACTATTCATACTTCCATCGAAACTGCTGAATCCGAGGTGAAGTCGCGGTGCACAAACATATCTGACAAGGCCGCCAAGGGCCGGCGGAGTGGACGGGACCCCCAAATTAGACGCCATCCCTCGATGAGTGCCTGTCATCGCTGTTTGATGACGGGGTCCTGTGCGTCTTGCTTCCTCCCACTACCAGTTTACGTATCACTATGGTTCGCTAGCAGACACGCAACAACGACGCAGTGTTCGACATACTATGCTCGGCTCTACTCGATATTGGATCCTTGCTTTGGTATCCTCTCTTGTATGGCGGTTGTTGGCGGGACCGGCCGAGCAAGACATCGGTCTCTTGCTCAGTTCGGATCGCCCTTCAAATGTCTTGCTCCTGACGGCACATCCTGACGACGAATGCATGTTCTTCGCGCCCACGCTTCTTGCGCTCCAGGAACTTTCAAGCCATCAGCTACCCACTATACATTCGCTTTGTCTGTCTGTAGGTAATGCCGACGGCTTGGGTGACATACGGCGCCGTGAACTCTCAGCGAGCTTGGACGTGCTTGGTATCGCCGAGGGGAAGAGATGGGTCATTGACACCCCGTGAGTCCTCTATCTTTCTTCCCTATGGAGCGCACAGTTCTTCCGAGACATTTGATCGCATTTGCGTTCATGGTTCTGAAGGCATCCGCTCCGCTTCGTCCACCATGTCACCATGGGATGATTCAATGTCGGTGGTAGAGAGGAGCATTGTTGCCTCCGTGCTTATGTTCGACAGCACCATCATCCTTCAGCCCCGTTCGCACCGATGTCAATATGCGTAAGCCGCCCATGTTCGGCTCCTATAGCAAAGACATCGCTTGCACTCCGCCGAACTCGGTCGCTGACCATACTCCGAACTAGTGAACTCCAGGATAACTTTACGGCAGTATGGGACGCCCAGGTCATCGCCGACGCTATTCGACCTTACGTCCTCAAGCACAACATCAATACCGTATGTACCCGATGTCATGAAAGTCGACTGTGCCCGCGCCCGAATTCTCATTTACCTTGTCGCAGATATTGACATTTGATCATCACGGCATATCCTCTCACCTAAACCACATCTCCCTTCCGCACGGCGCTGCACATTTTCTTACCACGCTCCCGTCCTCAGCGGAGAAGCCGCCCCCACGCCTATTCACGCTCGTGACAGTGCCGCTGTACGAGAAGTACCTGGGCGTTTTATCGCCGCTCCTCAGCAAAGCGTCGATTGCACTCTCGCGGATCCCGCGTGACCCTCGCACAGCAAGCGGAGCTGCAAGGGTGGTTGCCGTGTCGGGTTTCGGCGGGTACGCGCGCGCGCACCGCGCAATGCGAGAGCACTGGTCGCAGCTTGTCTGGTTCCGTTGGCTGTATGTCTCGTTCTCACGCTACATGTGGGTGAATGAGTGGGTGGAGCTAACGCCTCCCACCTTGGCCCAAACTGCGAGTGGTACGCAGCCGTGACAGCGCGCGACGTTGGGTTATTGCAACCTGGATGTTGTATACGAATACTGTATTGTAGATAGTGCAATACTCATGGAGGCCAGTTATACTTAGTGCACTGTTTGCGTGTCTACGTGCAATTGTAAGACATCTGAGCAAGCTCTGCCCTTGGTAATATCGGCATAACTGCATTCACATGCTTCACGACCCACGATGGCTTGGCAGCAGTTCTTCGCTCCTCGTTCAGTTGACGTACCCAACTGTGACCGCCAATCCATCTGTCGATACCAGCATCGCTAGAAAACACGTTTCTGCCGTTAAGGAGGATCCACTCGGCCCTTCGTATCTGTGCCGTACTGGGAAGCTCGCCATTCCTGACAGGGTCGCATCCGTTGGAGAGGGACATACTGAGGGTGCCGACACGCTGAGAGACGCGAAGATTCAACTTGACAGCTCGCAAGGCAAGAAGAACTGCGACGATGGTGAAATGGGAGCGATCCTGGAGCAACTGGGCCATTCTGGTAGGATACATGATCACCGGCCGTGCAGTGAAGTTTGAGCAGCGGATGGCGTCAGAATGCTACCTATGGTGCTTCGAAGCCATTGTGCACCGTTGCCTTCGGATGCGTCCTTGCGGGTCGCGCCCTTCCTCCACCACGCGCGTATATGCGCACCGAGCATTGCCCCCAGCGGGCGCAGGAAATGGCTCGCGACGCCCCTGCGACAGAGTACACACAGTTGGAGTAATCAAACTCAGGAACTAGCGAGCAACACTCACCACAGCGCGCCCTGCAGCAGAGGGCTGAGGAGCTGGTCTCGCGTCGTGATCCACAGTATCCGTCCCCACTGCACATGGAGAACCTCTCCCGAACCCGTTGCGGCCGACTCCTCCTGCTCCTCCTCAACATCCAATGCCTTTTCCTTCCCCTTCTCGCTAGATCTCGTTTGATTAGGACGCTCGAGATGCACGTATTGCCCGACGCTACGAAGGTAACTGTACTCGAAGCGCAGGTCGGGCACTGGGGGGATGCGGCGACGCTCGGTGATGCGGCGGTATCGGTCCTCGGCTTCCTCTGAGGCGTGAATCATGTCGTCGAGTGTCTGGAGACGGTGGAATAGTTCTCTCTGCGAAGATTCAGTGGTGCCACGAGCGTTGGTGGACATCGTCGGGAACGGACGTGGAGTCGTGGACGGCTTCATTGGCGCCAACGACCTTGAATTTGGGCGTTTATGCAGTATACTTCGCGCTTGCAACTTGGATTGACTCGGAAGTAGCACCTTTCGGGAGCGGTCGTCTTGCCTGTGGACAGTCGCGGACTGATCCCATCAGAGTCTCTTCTAGATCCTTTGGTATCCCAGCAAGAGTATCGGGAGCATAGAGGGGGTCGAATTTCCAACACACGTACTCAGCCAGACTCCTAGGAGGACATCGTCGTCCGGCTCAAGAGAGAGGCCAATAACACAACATTGTACGATGCAACACTGACTATAAACGAGAAACCACATCAGAGGTATCCCTCAAGGTTCATCACTTCCTGTTCGCCAATATATTGTTGAACCACGTTGGCGCGTTCTCGTTATGGATCTTGAAGTCCCATGATCCGCCCCACTTCTGTTTGTCGAGAACGAGTCTCTGGGGAGCCAGCCATCTATGTAGATGGAACCCATGACATGCTGAAACTATTCTGGCTGTTTGCTTGAAGCTTGTCTGCGGGATGGGACGCATCGAATCTCAGCATTGCGCACCAGAAGAACTTCTACGACGTCACCAACATTCGGTCTGACAGAGCGAGGGACGACGGAATACGTACCAAGCCCAAGATGCAATCAGGAGTGGGGTACTAATTAGTTTCTGTTTGTTGTGTGAAAGGTGAGAGGTAGCCTGCGTCGCTTTTCCAAGGGCTGGCTAAGAAGTGCAAAGCCCCACAACAGGACTCAACATCCTGGTCGTTTGCCCCCCTGAATTAGAAGATGATGTCGCAGCCGTCGAATATGACTGGTTCTTTGACAAAGAAGTCTTCCTCCTTAAGCCACGTCTTCCTGATCTCATCGGTGACGCATTTCGGAATTCGCCAAACACTGGAACCTAGATGGAAAAGAAATCGCCACATAGATTTGGTAAGCCATACATACTGGAAGTGGGTGAAGCGGGGGAGGGGTACCAGAGTCGAGCTTGACCCGAATGCCATGTTGTCCATCCGTCATAGGCATCTCAATCCGAATGGCCTCCCAGTCAAGCGTAGATGCCTTCGTGTAGTTTGGATTTGTTACCTGTGGTACGAGCAATGTCATGGACATAAGCTTCACAGTCCAATGTGTATACTTCCCATATTCGTTCGGGAAAATGGGATTATTGCGTGACCAGGTTGGTACACGTAGTTCCCCTTCAGGACCAACCATCGCGCACGGAGATGGGCTGCCGAAGTACACGAAGCTCCGCCTAAGGAATGAGGACATTCAGCATCTCCGTCATAGCGTGCCAACAATTTCTAGGCTTACGATCGCTCGTCTGCATTGACGGGTCTTACTTCTGCTGGTAGAAGGGGAAAGAGAAGTCGCATCGTCATCTTCCTGGGCTAGTCATGCGGCAAGGTTTAACCTCCAATCAGGTCTCCTGCGAGCCGAGTAAATCGTGTTCTACCCGCGCAGACCCGCTTAGCTGCAAGATACCATAGAACCACTCATAAACAGGGCCACGGACGTGTTAGACTCTGTTGTAGGGACTCAACTGGAACTCACCACTCGCTCTCCTGGCGAGATTGTGATCGTATGAGTTGAACCTTTGGGTAATGCATTCCTGTCTCCACAACTATCCCAAGGGGCCCTCCACCTGAATGACAACGACAGATTTTGACTCTGAGCTGTCGATCTCAAAGTTCACGGAAGGCCATGCTTACCCGGGAACGCCCAGACTAAGATTGCCGTCAAATGGAAGCAACGCTACCTCGTTGCTCGTCGCTGCGTGCCAGTTCAAGACTCTGTGAACAAAACCTGCTTAGTCAGCATATAAGCGCTTAGAGGAACTCAAGCCAAAATTCCATGTGCAGACGCTGGGAGTCTGACTCCCTACCTGCCAACATTAATTGGAGGGAGACGATGACGATTCCATAGGAAGGGAGAGAGGGTACCTTCATTGATATACTATATGAGTCGTAAGAGCAAGTAGGACTAGATTTGCCCACAAGGAAGCTGGGGTCCAAGCTCGGCCTTCAGCAATATTCAACATCCGACAGGAGAAAAGTGAGGGTCGTAATCAACCTGGGGCGATCCGGTAGCATGACATGCTACATTCTAGTGCACAATATGTCGTACGTGCTTTTTTATCCGGGAAGTCTAGACCTCTTTGCTCGCTCCAAGTGGAAGCTTTGACCACCATCATGTACTCGAAAGGAGCCTCCGCATCGACTGTCACCTCAAAATCGCAGTGCAGCAACAGTTGGTCATAGTCAAACGCGCATTTGCCGGATATGAGATGCAGCGACATTGGAGCGAGGTGTGATGTCGCATTCGAAGGCATCTGGATGTCTTCGGAGGCATTGAGCTTCATCTCACTACGAGCGATCTTTCAAGACGTACGAGAGAAAGTTACTCGACGGTGTCTTCGATTCCGTGAGTATTGAATTCAACGATTCGTCGGCGCCTGCAGGTGCTTTGATATCCAAGGCATGCAATATGGACGTGATCGCGATAAACAACGACTCCTGAGAGAACGGCATCCCAGGGCACATCCTATAGAGAAAAATTATGAAAACGGCACAGCAAAGTGAATCGATACACCCACCTGCGGCCAAAACCAAACTGAAAACTCAACGGGTCCCTCACGGTCAAATCAATCTTGCCGTCCTTCAAGAAACGTTCCGGTATAAACTTGTCAGGTTCTGGATAAGCGACAGGGTCGTGCGACATCGCCCTATGGGACACCCATCAGACCAATTATTCGCTTGAGCGCCTTGACTCTTACCAGGCATTTGCAATGAGTACTGAGCCTGCGGGCAATAGGTAGCCCTTGAATTGGTCGGCCTCAATGGCTCGGTGAGGAATACCCAGTAACAGGACGGTATGCCACCGAGAACACTCTTTCATAACCGCGTTGACGTAGGGAAGAGACTCTCGATGGGAAAAATCAGGCAGCTGGTCGGGGCCGACGATCCTGTCAATTTCGGCCTGCGCCTTGCATTGAACATCAGGATGTGTGAGCATTGCAAGAATAAAGGCAGCAAGGGTCGTAAATGTCTGCGCCGTCACATGAGTCTGAGGCGGTCTAAAATATGGAAGAAATCACTTGCCGTATCCGCGCCCGCTAGACGAGATTATATCATTGAGTAAAACGTGTGCAATCAGTTCAATCGGAGAACATGAGAATATTTACCAGCGTAAGCGAGAGCTGTAACATCTTTGTACAGCTCTTCATCTTCCGCGGATACGGCGCCATTGTCACGGATGGCTTGATCTATGAGGGAGGACGTTACAGATGGCCGCGCATCTCCTCGAGCCTAACGACAGTTCAATCGGCCTAGACTCTTACTACCTCTCTCGAAACCACTCACTATCGCTGCACAAGCGGCATCGTATGCAACCGTTCTGACGGCGGTTATGACATCCCGCCACATTGGCACCTTCTTCTTGAACCCGGCACCAGGGAACCAGGATGGGAGCCGCGCCAGGCTGGGGAAGAGCTCGACGACGTATTGTCCGGGTGCCATCACCTCGCCGAAGATCTCCGAACCCCTTTCTAGGATGCTGATGAACTTGTCATCCTCATCTTCTATCTCAATGCCGTACACGGTGTCCATGATGGAACCCGCAACATAACTAGGAAGTACGTTAGCCAAGCCCACTTCATGCACGCTGAAATGAGTAGAACATACTGCTGACAGTGGCGGAGGAAGGGCGCAGGATCGTGAAGGAGCTTCTTCAATAGTCGTCGCGCCTGCCGAAGATGAATCGGTCTGAACTGGGAGACCACACCCTGATGGAAGTAACTGTGAAACAGTCGTCGGCCCTGTCTCCAAGAGTCCGAGTAACCCTTGAGGGCGAATTGAAACGTCAGGCCGACTCTAGGGCAATTGTTAGCGAGACATGATTGGCTATTCCCGGGCGGTCGTGCTCACAGTTCCCCCATAACGAAGTGTGGCCTGTCAGAAGTGTTGGAAGAGCGCTTTTCTAGGATCGCTACCGCGGCATCATATGAGTCGATGATGATGGTCGGTTGCCCGAAGACGTCCAGATAGACGACGTCCCCTGTTGACGGTGGTTTACTCTATCACTTATGCATTACTTGTGGTTCAGTCGATTTTGCTCACCGTGTTACTTGCAGATTTCGTGTAGCGATACTGCCAGATTCTCCTTGGGCATATCGAGTAGATTACCGATGATAGGGAGGGGTCTCGGACCTGGAGGAAGCGGGAGCCGGGATGAACGGGCACGTTTCTGCGACCACGTCACAGCAGCAGCGACGAGTCCTATAATAAGGAACACGGCAACATCCAACGGAGCACACATTGTTACGACTACGAGCGGGATATGAGTCCGCCCTCTCCTGTATGTTCGCTGTAGAGTTGGAGAGATACTTCCACGCAGATGTGGAACAGGGAACGACTCCCGCGAAGACGTTGTCTTAAGAGCACCATGGACACAGGCACGCAGCCTAGACCGGCCCGAAAGTGTGGGCGTGCCTGATGATTCGATGAAGCCCCACTTGCATAGTCTCGTGACCAGACGTTCGGAGCTTGAATCGGATGCGAAAAACCGGGGGCATCCGAGCTCCTGAACGTCTGGTGGCTTTACCCCCGTGACTCCCCGCTCGGTGACCGGTGTGACCTCCCTGCCTCTTGTCCTTCGTGCGCGTCTGCCTGCTTATCTCCCCGCTATCTTCGAGTCGCGCTGAGCCTACTCCGCTCTTTGTCGACACTCCTCTAACTGGTACGTCTCTATGACATCTACAAGCCTTTGCTACACATCCTCCATACTCAATCTGTCTATCTCTCATATAGGCAGTACACAGTAGTCCGCTCCATGGGCGCTTATAGATCCTCGCGCACCCAGTCTAATCCCACCAACAGCGCCTCTGAGACATCCGCCTGCCACTGGTGTGGCACCTTCCCTCCCATGTGTCGCGGCGACTAGGCGCGTAGACTCGGGTTGACGTTCGGCGACGACCCGTA